CACAGTAACCCACCAATTTTACAGGGAAATCTGAAGCAATGAAGACACCTAACGTGGCCGACATGGCGCACCAGCATGATGCGACCTCACCCTCCCCAAACCCGTTAGGTAAATATCATCATCCCTTTATTTTTTAATTTTTAAAAAATGTTTATTTATTTATTTGGGGGGGGGGAGAGAGAGAGAGAGTGAGAGAGAGAGAATGAGAGAGAGAGAGAGAGAATGAGAGAGAGAGAGAGAGAGAGAGAGAGAGAGAGAGAATCCCAAGCAGCCTCCGCACTGTCAGCACAGAGCCCAACGCAGGGCTCAATCTCACAAACCATGAGGCCATGACCTGAGCCGAAATCAGGAGTCAGGCGCTTAACCAACTGAGCCACCCAGGCACCCCTTAATTTTATTTTACAGAGAGCGCGCACGCGTGAGTTGGTGAAAGGGGCAGAGGGAAATGGAAAGAGAGAGAAAAAAATCTCAAGCAGGCTCCACACTCAGTGCAAAGCCTGATGCAGGGCTCAATCCCATGACTCTGGGATCAATCATGACCGGAGCCAAAATCAAGAGTCGGACGCTCAACCGAGGCACCCAGGTGCCCTTCATCATTTTTTTTTTGAGTTGAGTTTTGAGAAGCTTGGAGAGGTCAAGTAACTGGCCCAAGGTCTCAATGCTATTGAAGCGGCAAAGGAAGGCCTCCCACCCAGACTACCTCCCAAAGTCCAAGTTCTGTCCGTAACACCCGCTCCTCCTGTGACTGGTTCACGACTTACACTCTCAACAGGACTGAAAGGTTGGATTCTTTTTATACGTCCATCTATAAGGACTTTTTTGAGGACTCACTTGTTTGCTTCAGAACCCTGGCCACCCCTTACATTTCATTTATGTTACAAATCTTTTTTATTACATGTACAGCTGTTATCTGACACAGCAGACCCAAGGACTCTCTAAATTTCAAGACAATTGCATGAACAGTCAGCACGTTGATATCAGCAAAACTGTAGAGATTTGATAACTTCAATGCTCATCAGCTACAAAACTGTTGGACAGACTTCCTATTACTGTGCAAATGAACATACTTAGTTACCCCAAAAATACCACCAACTGAGAGCAAATACCAACACTCCCAACCTAAATGAAATCTTGAGCCTCACAGCCATAAATCCTGAGATAATCAGCACGAAAAGCCTGTTGAAAATAATTTTTATTTCTCAGATGCCATTGAAATAAACACAAAAACTCACACTTAGAATTTACTTTAGAAAGCACTTCCTTTACTGCAGAATCTTTCTCAAGATCCAAGGCTGTTTGTTTAATCTAAAATGAGAGCCCCGGTTTCACTAGCTGCTGTTTAATAAGTAGCTGAGTCCCACTGGCTTCACAGACTTGCGTGAGCTCCTTTATCTGGAACTGCTAACAGCTTCCTCTGTACTCTGTGACCTAATATGCCACAGGACAACAGAAGTGGGCTTCCCGGTCTAACCACTATCCTGGTATTAATAACAAACAGGGGACTTAGGGGAATGCATACAAATATACTATCTCTTTCTATGATGTGACTGAGAATCTCACAAAAGGTACATAAGTGTTTTCTAAGACAAGAATGACCTCGTCACTAGGAATGGAGAAAAGAATTTCTCAACTGAAACCTTAGTCTGGTCGTTTAACGGTGTGTGAAAACAGTGGACTTTCTCCCTTTATGTAAGCTTTCCAGTGAGGACGGACACGATCTCCGTCTACACAGCCAGCAAGGGCCCTTGCAGAAATACACATTCTCAGGAAAAGGCTCCCAAAGAGGGCAGGAGCGACTCCCAGAGCAATAAAGACAGGCCCAAAATAAAGATCAAGCATTAAATGCTTTTCTTGTACACCTGAAACTAATATAACACTGTATATCAACCAACTGAAAGAAAGAAAGAAAGAAAGAAAGAGAGAGAGAGAGAGAGAGAGAGAGAGAGAAAGAAAGAAAGAAAGAAAGAAAGAAAGAAAGAAAGAAAGAAAGAGGGGTGCCTGGGTGGCTCAGTCGGCTGAGTGTCCAACTTCGGCTCAGGTCATGATCACACGGTTCGTGAGTTCGGGCCCCGCGTTGGGCTCTGTGTGAACAGCTCAGACCCTGGAGCCTGCTTCAGATTCTGTGTCTCCCTCTCTCTCTGCCCCTCCCCCACTTGTGCTCTGTCTCTCTCTCTCTCTCTCTCTCTCTCTGCCTCTCAAAAATAAAAAAAAAATAATTAAAAAAATTTTTTAAATATATTTAAAAAAAGAAAGAAAGAGGCTTCTTGCCTGATAGGCAAAGGCAATCCACGTATTTACAAAGCTTAATTATGACTGAATGGGTAAATACCCTTTTCAACTTCCGAAACCTAGAAATGAATTTTGGATGAATTTTGGCTGAATTTTAGTTAACTGCCTCATCTCTTTCCCCCCATGCAAATGGGCTGGCAAAGGAAAACATTCAAGTATTTTTTCCAACCTATTTTTGATAAGCCACGCTTTCTCCAAGGCACTATCAAGCAGTTTGGAATTTAAGTGGAAAGAACAAAGCCGAGGAGGCAAAAGACTACATGCGAGGCATGTATCCTGAATTTGGAAATGGCCAGCCCTACTTCTGTGTGGAGCGCAGTCCCCACAGAATCAGAGGCCTGAGGGTTACAACGCTTCCAACATTTAACTGCTCTTTTAGCTCACATACATGTTCAAGACGGGCTCCTCTCTCTTAACCAGTGAGCTCACTTATCAGGATCAGCTCAAAGGTTTCTTTATTCTTCTTGGTCACACACATCTTCATCAAGAATCCGTCTCCATTACCAGGATTAATAATCTCTTTTGGATGGAAACACAAACCCACAAATCTATGTGTGACTGAGCACCTCTTCCACAGAATTTAACCCCAGGGACCTGTCACTCATATGCCACATGTCTAATTGTATTCCTTCTGAGCAACAGAATACGAAGGGAAAATCTGCAAAAGCTGCTGTAAGTCACCACGTATTTCTTTATGCTTTATTCATGCCAAAATTTGGTATTTCTATTTGTGGATGACTTTTCCTGATTGTCTTGTTTTACAATGCTCCCCCCAAAACCTCCAATATTCTGATCTGTACCTCCGTAAAAATGGAGGTGAAAGTGAAAGAACGGAGCAAAAATCATGTTAAGAGGTTTATAAGGAGGGGCACCTGGGTGGCTCAGTTGGTTAAGCATCGACTTCAGCTCAGGTCATGATCTGGTGGTTTGTGGGTTTGAGTCCTGCATCGGGCTCTGTGCTGACAGCTCGGAGCCCGGAGCTTGCTTCGGATTCTGTGTCTCCCTCTCTCTTTGCCCCTCCCATGCTTATGCTCTGTCTTTCTCTCTCAATAAATAAACGTTAAAAAAAATTTTCTTTTTAAGAAGAGGTTTATAAGGAGACACATTCCCATAGGTTCCCACATAGAGTCTGTTTTTCAAAATATATAAAAATTTAAGTGCAAAGTCATCTGGAAACTTCTTGAATCCCTTTCACATAAATACTCTTTACACACTATCCTACTCTGGTGCTAATTTTCAATTTCACCATCAGTTTCAATATCACCATCCACGTTCTTCTGTATTGTCTTTTACAACTTTGTCACTTTCTGTGACTCATACCTGGGCTGCATACACTTCTCATAACACTCACTTTTCTTGTCTATCAGATCAGAAAACAGAATTCACCTAACAAATATTTGATCTAAGGCAGTGGCAAAAATTTCGCGATACTTTACGTGGTACAATGATAACAGTTAATACCCAACTAAAGGGCACTCAATGACAGAACTTGGTGTAGCTCTGGAAACATTATTTATAACTTGCATAGTGGATGTGTTTGTCTTTACTGGGGAAGGGAACTTCCACATCGTGTACCCAGTTAACATCGTATTAAAATAACTCTTAACCTCAAGAGTATTCCGAAACACAAGACCTAAGGTGGGGAAGTGGAAAAATCACACAACTAGGGAAATCTCAGACATGGGTTTTAGATGTGGCTCCGCCTACAATTTAGCTGTGTCACCTTGGGTAGGTCATTTGACCCCCTCCCCCCCCCCCCAGGGCCTCAGTATCTTCAACTGAGAAACAAAGATATCAGGCTAAATTTTCTTTAAGGACTCTTTCAATTCCAAAATTTCATGAATCTATGAAATTTCAGTCTCTCCTTACTTCAAAGACAAGCACTAGATCTTAACCCAGATTTTTTTTTTCTGTAAAAAAAAAAAATGACTCAACTTGGGATGCTTTCCTCGGGTAAAGTTTTATCTGGGAAAATAAACCACAACTGAAGAGGATGTCGAGAAAATGGGGAGGAAAAAAAGAAAAAGAAAAGAAAACCACACACTGACGTAGCTAAAATAGAAACTTCAATCACCCTTGGGCCATTCTGTCAATAGTTACTCAAAGACTGCTACTCTAATCACTGGCTTCCTAAAATAGAAATATTTACAGAGTTGTTTCCTTTTCATTCCTTGAGATTCAATCCGAAAAAAAGCACAGCGTCTAAAATCAATTTACAACTTCAGAACAAGTTGCAGGGAGCGAATGAAACTCCGCACAGTTCGTTAAGTCATTTGCATTCAAGTACAATTAGGGCTAAGAAACGGTTCTTAATATAAGATGTGAGAAACGCACAGAAGGCAGGTGACATCTGAAAGGGAAGCAGAACTGCCAGATAGGGATGTAGGCTGAGGACCTCCGGGCAACAGGTTCAGAGCAGGTACCGCAGCCTACGCCGGGAGGGGTCGATCGCTGCCGCCCGGCTCGCCGCCCTCCCCGGGCCCAACCGCATCGCCTCGCCCCCGCTTCGGCCCTGGAGAGGCTGCCCGCTCCCCCACCCCACGCCCCTGCGGCAGAAACCTCCCTAATCGCTTGCTTCCCCGGGCCTCCCGCCCTGGCAGGCCCTCCGATTCCTCGGCGTCGCCGGACGGGGCCCGCCGCCTCCTCCCCTGCCACCGCCGTCGCAGCGGCCCCGCAGCCTGGGTTCCCGCAGCCGCGTCCCCGCAGCGGGCCCGCTCACCTGCACCTGTTTGCGGAAGTGGCGCGGCCCCGGCACTGCCGGCGGCCAGGAGCAGCGGCAGTAGCAGCAACGCCGGCGGCCCCGGCATCTCGCCCACTGCACGGCCCCCAGGGCCGGCTCTCGGGTCTCCTTCCGTCGGTCCGTCCGTCAGTCGGTCCTGCCTGCCTCAGCGGCACCCGCGCCAGCTGCTCCTGAGCACACGTCGCTTCGGCCAAACCTCAGCCCGGCTCCTAGTCCGCACCCGCCGCCCCGGCCACAGAAACACCATCCTTCCCGCCCGCCCGTCTGTGCCGCCGCCGCCGCCGCCGCCTCTCAACAGCAGCAACGGCAGCAGCCCTGCGGAGCCGCGGGCCAGGGCAGCCGCGCTCCTGCCGCCATGATGGGCTGCGTCATGTGACGTAGGGTGGGGGCGGGATGCCGTGACAAACAGCCCAGCCAGCCAATCGTCCGTTCCACACCGGCCCCAGAGGCCCCGCCCACCACCCTGAAAGAGGGAGGGTGGCCGCCGGTGCGCCCCCTGCAGACCGAGGAGTGCGTGGGCAGCAGGTAAGGCCGACAATTATTTTAAATTTTAAAATACAGGGAAGTATAAAGAAGACAATAAAAAGCATTCAGAATCCATCTCATTTTTTTTCAGTATTTTAAAACGAGCAAAACTAGGCCTGTTTTGTCTTCTGCCTTTTTTACTTGGCATAGCCGTTTTAGGCTCTTCTCTCCTTAGGTTGACCTATACATCTTAGCAGCCATCAAGAATACTTGGGCTTTTATTTCAGTCCAACAAGAATAGGATGGCTCTCCCCTCACACTCACTGACTCAGCTCCTGAGCTCAAGATGTTCCCTTCACCAAGAGTGCCCTTCCTGTCCTCTCTTGGCCACCTGGCACACTCTCTGTCATCTGTCAAGAGTCACCTAAAGGATGACGTCATCTAAGAAAACCCCTCCCAGCCCCGGGAGAAATGACTAGCATCTCCTAGTGCCTCGCCCTGGCCCTGGACAGACTGCTATCCCAGCTGCCATATTTTATTGTTCCTGTGACTGTAAGCTCCCTGAGGACAGGCACTGCGCTTGTGTCAATGGGAGTCCCCCCGGGGGCTGGCACAGGGCCTGGCGCTGAGTAGTTGTGTCCTATGGAACGGCGCCCTGTCCTGGTGCTGGGCACTCCCAGGTGCCGGCCTCTTCCCACCAAGAGACAAGGTCCAGACAACAGGGGAGGAGAGACCATAGTCCTGCAGAAAGGGTAGAGAAAGCACCTTCCAGGCAGAAGTAACATAGTAGTGAGAGACCTGAAGGTTGGGAAAAGGCCAGGCCTTTCTGGCACTCGCACCAGTTTGTGCATGAGAGGGACTTATTTGAATCTTATCAGATGGAGCAGGGGAGCCCAGTTCTCCAAACTCCTCAAATGTCCATCCTAAATGTCAGCTCTTGCGGTGCTAGCCCAGCATTGGACCTACAGGCGATGCCCCAGGGAATATTTGTTCAATGATTAAAGCAAGCCAATAAACACCTAAGTAAACACAGAGCTGGAATGTGAAATACTGAGTTAAGCGTCCCTGCCTGTCTGCTGATCTCTGTTTGGGAAAGGGGAGGCAGACAGATCTCTGTCTGGGAAAGGGATGCAATCACTCTGTGGTCTTTCTACTTCCCTCAGGAAGCTCCAGACTTTGAGTTTGAGGAAGCCAGGGAATGCTCATGCTCTGTATGGAGGGGAGTCACCATGCTTATCTGCAGCAGGGCTGGCCCAAGCGAGGCCCTGCCTCATAAACTTGTGGTTGTCAATCTTTAATTAAAGTGCACCCCAACAGCAACATGTCAGACCACAATCCCAAAGCGGGTTTCATTATTATTTGAGCAAGCCCCCCAAATCTTAAAAAAAAATTTTTAATGTTTATTTATTCTTTGAAAGAGAGCAAGCGAGAGCACGAGCAGAGGAGGGGCAGAGAGAGAGGGAGACACAGAATCCAAAGCAGGCTCCCAGCTCTGTGCTGACAGCTCAGACGTGGGACTCGAATTCACGAACTGCGAGATCGTGACCTGAGCCGAAGTCCGATGCTTAACCGACTGAGCCACCCAGGCACCCCAAGCCCCGAAATTTTTTAAAAACTTCTTTTTCTCACTTCACAGAGCAGGAGTTAAGGTACACATTCCTCAGAGAGTGTCTAATGGAAACCTTTACCACCCACCTCACCACTCATACCTCTGCCCAGTGCTTCTCTTGAAGATTCGGTCGAGAACTTATAAAACAATTGAACACCGACCGGTTTGCTTTGTTTCGTTTCACCTGGCAATCAGAAAACAGCCTTAGGCGCAATTTGGGATTAGATCCCTAAAGCTTAGAAGCAATATCTTGGGGTGTGTTCCTATAGCTGTTCTCACCTGTGCTCAGCCTTTTCCAGTTTTTCTTCCATGCCAAGACATCAATTGGACAACCCTACTGGCATTGTTGTCCTGCCAGCAGTGACTGAGGGCTAGGTGCTGAGAGATACGGAGTTAGTTTAGTACTAAATGAGCATGCATCCCTGAGGGTCTGGCATCCAGCAGATATCCTAAGTGTTTGCAGGGCTGAGCTGGATCGCATGGGTGCATCCATGAGGGTTCTGCCAGTGGTATTGTGAACCCTTCAGGAATTTTGCATGCCAGTTGTTAGACACAGCCATTGTTACAAATTAAATTATAGTGGCACCTGGATGGCTCGGTTGGTTAAGCATCCTACTCTCAATTTTGGCTCAGGTCATGATCTCACGGTTCAGGGGATCGAGCCCTGCATTGGGCTCCGTGCTGACAGCACAGAGCCTGCTTGGGATTCTCTCCCTCTCTCTCTCTCTCTCTCTCTCTGCCCCTCACTCAGGTGCATGCACGCACGTTATCTCTCTCACAAAATAAATAAATAAAACAAAGGTGATGAGGAGAAGCATTCCAGAATGAAAAGCAATGAGAACACTGACAAAAATGGTCAAAATTGACTTCTGCAGGACTCTAGAAATTAGCCAAAGGCTTGCAACGGCACAAGGAGTAGTTATTAAAGAAAAACAGCCGAATCTCAGTAAAAACTTTGAGCTTTGTGGCATTTTCACTTGCTGTATTCCTACTCTTCTCTACCTGCCCCCCAACCTCCATGGGAGCCTTAAAAACCAGTGGCCTCACAACCAGAGTAGCTGTGAAAACGAGCAGCCTAAAAGCTGCAGGAGGGAACAGGTGTGAAGGTCCCCCCAAAACTGCATCTCCAGAGAACTGACAGTGTTGGACCCATCAGACAGCTCCCTAGAAAGACACCATTCTCAAGAATGGTCTTTATTTGCTATGACTCAGGACTCCCTTAGTGCAAACACCCCTTTCCCCAGTTTGTTGAAAATAATCAATAGTAACTGTTGAGCATCGAGCTTCCTGAGCCGATGATACCTGTTGGCTGATCAAAAACTTGAAAATTTAGAGAACGAGGTATCACTGGGGGCTTCTAAAAGCTCTGATATATTCCTGGAAATCTAGAAAGTTATGTGCATATGCAAAGGCTGTGCACACGCCCAGGAAAGACATGAGAAGGCCTGAATCTCTCCCTGGCTGATCTTGAGGCTCTGTGCAAGCAGGAAGTGGAGGCTGGGGTGGAATTTCAAGCTGGAGAGCATTGAAGTCATGGCTTGATACACACACAGAGACTCTTAGCATAATTGAGGAGACATATTCGTTCAGGGCATCTAAGGAAATCTTCAGGTAATCATTAGCTGACCGTGAAGCTAGCTGAACAGAGACTTCAGTGGCCACACACAAAAAATACAGACTACAGAATCAGTCCAGGAAAGTCACGAAACAAACAGATGGTGGCAGCAGCAGTTGTTGAAACAAAAACAAACAGCGACAACAAAACAAATTCTGGGGAAGGGAGGTATTAGGAAAAACGGGTTTCCAGAGTCGCCATATTACGTGATTTTAAAGGTCCAGTTAAAAAGAAAGAAAGAGAGAAAGGAACAATGGCAAGACACAGAAGGGGACAGGAAAGTATGCTCCATACCCAAGATGAAAAAGCAGTAAGTAAAAACTTCCCATGAGGAGGCTGAAAAGGTGGGCTTGACAGACAAAACATATAAAACAAGAAAAACCTATTAAAATTAATTTTGAAATAAATCAGCTGTCACAAATATGTTCAAGGAACTAAAGGAAGCCGTGTCTAAGTAATTAAAAGTTGATTGAAAGACGTTAAAGAAGACCTGACTAAATAGAAGATATTCCATGTTCATGGATCAGAAGATTTAATTTTTTTTAATGTTTATTTCTTTATTTTGAGAGAGACAGAGCGTGAACAGGGAAGGGGCAGAGAGAGACGGAGACAGAATCCCAAGCAGGCTCCACACTCAGCATGGAGCCCAATGTGGGCTCAAACCCACCAACCGTGAGATCATGACCTGATTCGAAATCAAAAGTCACACACTTAGGGACGCCTGGGCGGCTCAGTCGGTTAAATGGCCGACCTCAGCTCAGGTCATGATCTCACAGCTCCTGAGTTCCAGCCCCGCATCCGGCTCTGTGCTGATAGCTCAGAGCCTGGAGCCTGCTTTGGATTCTGTCTCCTTCTCTCTGCCCCTCCTCCGCTTGTGCTCTGTCTCTCTGTGTCTCTCAAAAAGTGAATAAAAATGTTAAAAAGCATTAAAAAAATTTAAAGAGTTGCACGCTTAAATGACTGTACCACCCAGGTGCCCCAGATTTAATATTGTTAAGAAGGCGGGACACCTGGGTGGTAGAGCCTGTTGGGTGTTCGACTCTTGATTTCAGCTCAGGCCATGATCCCAGGGTTGTGGGATCGAGCCCTGCATCAGTCTCCATGCTGAGTATGGAGCCTGCTTGGGATTCTTTCTCTCCCTCTGCCCCTCTCCTCCACTCATGCTCTCTTCCTCTCTCTCTCTCAAAATAAAAAATAAAATCTTTAAAAAAATATTTGTTAAGAAGGCAACACTCCCCAGTTGACCTACAGATTCAGTGCAATCCCCATCCAATTCCAGCTGGCTTCTTTGCAGAAATTGAAAAGCTTATCCTAATATTCATATTGAAATTCAAGGGACCCAGAATAGTTAAAACAATCTTGAAAAAAACAGCAAAGT